TGGGATGCCCCCAAATCCCCCGGGACCCCCAAAACCCTCCCCAGACCCCCCAAAATCCTGCCGGACCCCAAAATCACCCAAAAGCCCAAAATGCCTGGATCCCCCCAAATCTGGTGGGATCCCCCAAACCCCCCGGAATAACCCCAAATCCTCCAAATCCCTGACCTGCTGCTTCGGGGGACCCCCGTGACCCCCAGCTGCCCTAGACCCTTTTGGGGACTCCCTCAGCACCAGCCTGTTTTGGGGATCCCCCAGCCCATCTTGCAGGACCCCCACCTTGTTCTGGGGGATACTGGCTGGGTTTGGGGGACCTCCCTGGTTTTGGGGGGCCCGGGGACCCCACCCTCTTTTGGGGGTCCCCGGCTGATTTGGGGAGCCATGGGAGTACTAGGGCCCCATTTTGGGGTCCCCAGCCCATTTTGGGGTACCCCAGCCGGTCTTGAGGACTCTCTCTGGCCGTTTTGGGGTCCCTGGGTGTATTGGGGGACCCTAGCTGACCTAAGGGGTCCCCAGCCCATTTTGGGGGACCTCCTAACTCTCACTGGGGTACCCTTCCTGATTAGGGGGCCCCCAGCCGTTTGGGGGGGTCCCCGACCAATTTGGGTGCCCCCTGCCAGTGTTGGGGACCCCCCACCTCATATTGGGGACCCCGGCTGATTTCGGGGTCCCCCCCATTTTAGAGGGCCCCCACTTCATTTGGGGGATCCTCAACCTTTCGGGGGGAGCCTCGACCGCTTGGGGGACCCGTGCAGTGGTGGCACCCCCTGACCTGCTTTCGGGGTCCCCCCGGCTGATTTTGGGGTCCCTCGCATTTTGGGGGGACCCCCACCCCATAGCGGGGTACCTCGGCTGATTAAGGAGCCCTCGGCCCTTTCGGGGGGTCCCCGACCCATGTGGGTGCCCTTTGCCGGTATTGGGGACCACTCACCCCATATTGTTGTCCCCCTGGCTGACTGTGGGGTCCCTCCCGTTTTGGGGGGACCCTCACCCCATAGCTGAGTGCTCACCTGAGTAGGGGACCCCTGGCTGTTTCGGGGGGACCCCGACCCATTTGGGCATCCTTTGGCGGTATTGGGGACCCCACCCCATATTGGGGTCCCCTTAGGTGATTTTGGGGTGTCCCCCTCCCCCCGCAGGTACCTGCACGGGGCGCCGGTGGGGGCGG